GATTCGTTCTATTTGCTATAAAATAAAAAGAGAGTTATTGGTTATTGTCTTTTTGTCAAGGAACATTTTTGTTCCCCTCAACTCAAACTCTCCACGGTGGCCTCTTTCTCTCTTAGATACCAACCCTTTTCTCCTGCATTTTTTCATAGGCTAACTGTGCTGGAGTACGTTTGTCCAGAGCCCGCTTCTTCTCCTCTTCTTCCTCCTGGTTCTTGCTGCTGACAATCTGGTCTACAATCTTGCTTCTTTCTTTATCTTTCTTCTTCTTTCTAAAAAGAGATAAAGTAAAATTCTTTCACAAAGCACGGTGGGGGAAAAGAATACAATTTATCTACATCTTCACCCGTAATCTTTGATTTGGATTTTCTTGTTAAGGAAAAAAGGCAAATTGGAAACTGGCACAAAGAAGCCTCGTTCAAGCCTGAGGATAACCTGGTCTTTATAGCAGAAATAAGGAATTTAAAACACTTTGATAATTATGAATTATATCCTCCACTTAACTTTGAGGAGTGGAGTTAAAGCATTTTCAGCTTATAAACTCCACAGTTTTCAAATGAATGGCCTCTGCCCTTTTATAGTGTGGGTGACTATGCAAGACCAAGACATTTCAAAAGTGGGCTTTAAGTGCCGTTTCCTTTTGAGGCAGCCCCGCCTTGCTTTCCAGTTGCTGATGAAGAGCTTTTACAACCACAACAGCCATATTATTTCCTTTTGACTGTGGCTCAGTGGCTACGACACTAAGTTTGTCGACCAGAAAGGTCGGCAGAACGGCGGTTCGAATCCCTAGTACAGGTCTCCTGCGTGAACAGGGTGTTGGACTAGATGACCTCTAAGGTCCCTTTCAACGGTTACTTTTTACTGTTTAAGGGCAAAAGAAGACGCGCCTGCCCCAAAGAGTGGGGCGAGCGTAGGATTATGAAAAACAAAAACGAGCGTCTCCCCGGCCGCCTATGCAATTTCTGCCTTTGGAGGCCCCCCTCACCGTTTCCCCGCAGATAAGCAGTCGGTGCCCCCTTTCAAACGTAGAGTGCCTCGCTGGACAGCTTCGTACTCCGACATCCCCCTTTTCTTTCAGCGGATCGACGTTTCCCTTCCTTCTCTCTTTCTCTCTCTCTCTCTCTCTCTCTCTCTCTCGGGGGCTGTGCGGACAAGACTGCGAAAGTATTTCCGGATTAAAGGAACCAAAACACAAGAAACTTCGGGATGCGTACACGGGCGGATCGCTAAAACCGGCGAACTGCTGCCTTTATCCATAGAGTGTTAAATGCTAGAGCGGCTCCAGGAACGAATCGCCAGCGTAGACTCTTCTATTTGGAACGTTAAAGGAAGCAAAAGGGAAACGCAGGAGAGCTGCGAGCAACTTCAGAGGGGGTGTTTTACCTGCGATACTGAGTTAATGGATTAACAGAGTTGGAAGGGACCTCGTAAATCTTCTAATTTAGACTAGTCTTTGATGCCTTTCAGAACTCAGAAGCCTGAGGACAACTCACAAGATTCCCAGCTTGCATGGCCAAAGCCATTTCTGGGAGTGGGAATCCTTCCCAATATTTTTTATTTTATTTAGTTCACTTAGTTTGTCCCTCATGTACAAGATAACAGGAATAAGAATAAACATGAATAAGAACACAGGAAATGGGTACAAATAAATGGGGGTCGTAGGATAAGGACGTTAGGTATGCTGGTGCACTTATGCACCAGTATGATTAACAGAGTTATTCCGATCAGTCTCCGGATACGCTTCAAAGTGCTAGTCGTAACTTATAAAGCCCTTCATGGTATTGGACCTGGGTACTTGAGAGNAAAAATACGATAATTATAGAAAAGGAACACCTCCATACAAGGCCAGGATTCTTGAAACAATGCAGCCTTGACTTCCTTAAGGAGTACTCACAAGATGAGAGCTGGATGTAGTGACTTCTGTAAAGATGGGCAGTCGTAATTCCCACCCTGTGAAGATCACAAGAGAAGAACTTTCAACAGGCGATGTGTCAATCACCAGATGGGCAGATTACATCCCAGTGTCTCGTGGCTTCAAATTCCCTAATAATGTACCGGCTGTTTTATATAGATGTGAAAAAGTACTGCAGAGAGAGTACTTTACAGAATAATTACTAAATGCTCAAGACACCAAACACAGTTCCCCCACTTTTTAGAGCAAAATCACTATCACAGTGTCGCTCATTACAACCTTATAGGCCCAACCCAGGAGGTCCTCGTGTTTAATGGTGTGAATTCATCAGAATGACTGGGGTTGATTCCATTCCTAAAAAAATCCAATTGGGCTGGGTTCAGATTATAGCAATAGCACTTAGACTTATATACTGCTTCATAGTGCTTTACAGACCTGTCTAAGCAGTTTACAGAGTCAGCCTATTGCCCCCAACAATCTGGGTCCTCATTTTAGCAAACTTGGAAGGATGGAAGGCCGAATCAACCTTGAGCCTCATTAGGATCGAACTCCTGCCTGTGGGAAGAGTCAGCCAGCAATATTGCATCCTAACCACTGTGCCCCCACCGCTCTTATATTTAGGATAATCCCTAACATCTGAGACCAGGTCATCTTTTAATGCATGCTGAAATAGCAAATTTTCCCTCAGGACTTGTGGGTGTGGGTGTTCCTGTTACACAGGAAGGATTTTAATTTTCCCCACACCTCATATTTTGAAAATATTTTATGTTTTCATTATGGGCTGTCTTCTTGAGAGGTTTACATGTAAGGATGCTGGATAAATATAAATTACAAAATAGGTGAAACAATACGTCAGTAAAGAGGTTCTTAAAACTTCTGAGGGCAATGATGTTTTCCTTTAAGTAGTAGAAGACCAAGAGATGACTGTGGATGATTTCTTTTGCTTTGTGTAGGAAATGCAGTGACCTGGAGGAAGAACTCAAGAATGTCACCAACAACCTGAAGTCCCTTGAGGCTCAGTCAGAGAAGGTTGGTGGTTCCTAATCTTTTAAGAGACAGGAATTGGGTTTCCGTGGGTTTTTTTTTTTTGAAGGTTCAAGAATAGATGGGATGGATAGGCCTCTGCTCTTATAATGAACCCCTGATATGATTTCCTTTCCTTTTATATTCTTCTTTAGTAGCCTGGGGTTTTATCTTCTCTGCTGATACCTGTTAAGAAGGTGAAGCAAGGTGGATGGACTCAGTTACTATGGTGAGGGATTCACCATTAAAGAATGAAAGTTAGGTTAGGGATAGATAGTCAAGGAGAAAATCCAGCTACGTGGTCAATATAATAGAATAACAGAGTTGGAAGGGACATTGGAGGTCTTTTAGTCCAACCCCTCTTGTCAGGCAGGAAACCCTACACCACTTCAGACAAATGGTTGTCCAATCTCTTCTTAAAANCGCCGCCCTGAGTCCCTCCCGGAGAAGGGCGGCATACAAATAAACTAAATCTTAATCTTAAATCTTAAGGGACCTTATAGGTGATGTAGTCCAACCCCCACCCCACCCCGCCCAAGCAGGAGACCACACACCATTTTCTAACAGATGGCAGTCCAGCCTTTATTGAAAACTTCCAGTGATGAAGCTCCCACACCTTCTGAAGACAAGCTGTTCCATTGGTTGATTACTCTGTCAGAAAAGTTCTCCTTATTTCCAGGTTGAATCTCTCCTTGATCAGTTTCCATCTATTATTCCTTGTCTGGCCTTTGGGTGCCTTGGAAAATAGCTTGATCCCTTCCTCTTTATGGCAGCCCCTCAAAAATTGGAACACTGCTATCATATCTCCCCTGATCCTTCTCTTCACTAGACTAGCCATGCCCAATTCCTGCAACTGTTCATCCTGTTTTAGCCTCCAGTCCCCTAATCATTTTAGTTGCTCTTCTCTGCACTCTTTCTAGAGTCTCAACGTATTTTTTATAGTGTGGAGTTAGACACTATAGCTTTGAAAGTGGACTACACTGCAGGGTTGTTAAAAGATGCTTGCCGCCTTCGGGATAACACTAGTTTGGGGAGTGGTGTTCTGCCTGGCCAGAGGGGGGAGTTGCCGGGCAGCTGCTCTCTTGCGAGCGGGCTCCCGAAGAGCTGGACACAGCCTCAGGGGTGAAGCAGCCATGAGATGACCACACTCACGAGCAGCCGCCTGGCAAACTCCCTCTCCAGCCGGGCAGAGCGGCTGACCTAGGGGGTATCCCTAAGGCACCAAGCCACGTGGTGCCCTGCCCGCCCCGCAGTTTGGCACATTCAGGATACCCCCTAGGTCAGTCTATGGAGCTCTGCCCGGCCGAAGAGGGTGGTTGTGCGAGCACCTGTTCCACCCCCTGCTTGCATGCCTCCCAGCCTCACCATGCCCTGGCCCAGCTCGCCCTGCAGGGCCAGGATGTCAGTGCTGCTTTTGCTGCCGTCGCTGCGCTCTGACCATAACTACTTCTCCAGCTTCCAAACTCCGGAACTCGGCTTCCAGTTCTTCCAGCAGCGGCTGCTCTAGGAGTGCGTTCTATGGTTGTGGACCCTATGGCAAGCCGCGGGAGCTAGGGAGCAGGCAGAGCGCCACATGGCTTGGCGCGTTAGGGATACCCCCTAGGTCAGTGAATGGCACTCTGCCCGGCTGGAGGGGGTTTGCCGGGCGGCTGCTCGTGACCGTGGTCATCTCATGGCTGCTTCACCCCTGAGGCTGTGCCCAGCTCTTTGGGAGCTCGCTCGCAAGGGAGCAGCTGCCCGGCAACCCCAAAATAAGCCCTCCCCTGATAATAAGGCCCAAGCCACATTTCGTGGGTCAAAAGAAAATAAGACCCTGTCTTATTTTCGGAGAAACACAGTAGCTACATTGGTGGCTTTAAGTATTGTACAATACTCTCCCCGCATTGATGAATAATCAAATGATATATGCTATATGACTATATTAAATAAATGAAAAATGGAGCATAAGACTGGTGTGATCTACCCAAAAACAGGTGTGAAAACCTCTCCTCTTAATCAGCACACAACCCATATTATTATTTTAAGGATTGTAACTGGAAATACTCCTAGGTAATGTAGATCATTTTATTTGATATTTTTTAATCAGAAGTATTGGGAGGGAATGCTGAATATTTAGTATAATTCGTATCTTGTCCTTCACAGACGGAAATTGATTGGCGCATTCTTGGCTGTATCTCTCAAAAACAGTCCAGATTATCTTTGGTTCAGTTTCCCCCACTTTGGGCATTGTCAGAAATCAAGATCGTATTTTCTTTGATAACATACTATTCATTTAATGGATGGATTAAAAAATGTTTGGAAATCTATTCCAGTATTTTTGAAAAAGGGAGTACAAGTTTCATTAAGTAACTTCCATATCCACTACTTTGATAGTCACACAGAGCTGCATGGGGGAAAAAAAACATAGGAAGCAGCTCTGGCCCAGATAAAATAGTTTTAGTCATGGAGCTTAAATTGCCTTTTAATAATAAACTCTTGTAAAATAGATAGATTCCAACATATAAGTGAGTCTTCCAGAGATACAGAAGTTATACTGGAATCCCGAGTACCCTGAAGAAAAGTTACAAGATCAGGTTTCTATTGTGGCAATATGTGTTCACAGGGTCAATACTAAGTTTGATTTTTTTGCTTGGGAATTTCAAAAAATCCTATAGAAATGGCTGAACCGAAGTAACTTTCTCAAAAGAGAAAGCAGCTATTTGTAAGTCAGACAAGAGTCTAATGCCAAAGAAGAACTGCAAGATTAGCACAGTCAGGCCAAGGCACAGTAAGCAAAGTGAATTGCTGTTGTCTAACCTGCTGGGAACCTTTATATGATTACAAGGACTTGTACCTTGCAGTTCAAAATCAAACATTTCTCTAATCAATCAAATAATACTCTCCCTGCACCAATCTCTTACACCGAGAAGGAAGCACAAGAGGAAAGGAATTTGACCTGTATATACAAGAATACACACTGATTTCTCTAAAAAAATAATTTACTTTTATTTTGAGACATTGTGCAATTTCTATTATGGGAGTGTCTAGAATGAGTGCCAAGAACAGACTAATTTGTTTTTCCTGATTCCAAGAGGGAGGGTGAGTAATCCGCTACAAATGTCAGTGCTTCATTCTGTCTTACAGGCTACACCCTATACTCCTTCATAGATTGGGAAGGCAGAGGAAAATCATTTAGAATTATGCTGATCATCACTTTTTCTACTAGCCATGATAACAGTTAATAGTTAACATCTCCCGAGAGAAAAAGAAAAGCCTGTTTCAAAATGTCCGGTATCTGATTTCTTGATCTACACGCCCCCACATTTATCAGGAGCAGTGATGGAATTAATGCTTCTCTATCACAGAAGGGTCGATTATGAAAAGGAGCCACTTTGTCCCGTTGCATTAGACTGGTGTGGAATCAAATCCAGAGAGGAAAAAAGCCTGTGCAAATGGGCAAGTCCAGAAAGGTTGAACAGCACCTCATATTAAGGCCGCACCCCTCAAAGAAGGGCACATCGGAAAAAACTGCTTTTCTTTGGCTGATCTGGGCTGATCTTCATTCCTGGGCTATTGCCCTGAGGGCTATTGCCTTCCTAGAAAGGTAAAGAATGGCAAGAGTCAGTTACTAGGAAATTGAAAAGTCATTCTTAAACTTAAAATCCACTAGCAGAGTCGAAGCTCTATTATATTACTGTTATACCAGTTATGCCAGCAAAACTAGCCAAAACTGATGAAGTAATGCTGGAATACTGTTGGAACATGTAAGTAATATTAAGCTGCCAGCAATGCTATGCAACAGAATATCCAAAAGAGCAAAATCACATATGGCATGTAATTATGAAATTAGTTGAATAAAGAAAAAAAAAGTGAAAGACACAGTTTCTGTACCCTCCCTTGGAATCGCAGTCTCAGAACTCCAATTATGAGCTCTTGTTTTATATGATCACTGTGTTGTCTGATAGTAAAGTCCCCCCTCCCTCGAAGTAATAGGGTTTACCCTGGATAGGCCATTACAAGAGAGGGGAAAGCTGTACGTTGGTGTATATTGCTGAGATGTGGTTGGGCATTAACAGGGATGTGATCCTATTGATTGGCCTTCCAGGATTTTCGGTTTTAAAGTAGTTGTAAGGTGAAGGACAGGGAAGAGAGCTTGAGGAGCTGATTGTTCCAAAGCATATTTGGGGGTTATTCTTACAATTAGATTGGCAATTGCCATGCAATATGACTTGGAATTTCTATTGAGTTTGTGGAACTCTAAAAATGGGTGTGGTACTTTTACAATGAGCCTTATTACCCATAGGCTTGATCTGTTCTGTTCCTTGCTCTCTTGGGCTAATGGCCAGGTATGTCCAGCTGCAGCTAAGCAGTGGTCAATGCCTCATTGAGAGAGCGCTGAATGCCACTTGCCTTGAAAGAGGTGATAATGTGCCCTCTCTTGGAAGTGGCCAACTCTCACCTCCTCTTCTTGAGAAAAGTTAGCTATAATAGATTCTAGAAGAAGCAGATTATCTGCATTGCCTTGATTCTGGCCCTATCGTGGGGGGCATAAAGAATATTGGTTGCACAGATGGATGAAACTTTGTCATGGCCTGGGTGTAGGAACTCCACCCTTCCTCTTCAATGGTGGTAGCTGTTGACCCTGCAGTGCAGAAACACATTGACCCAGAAGGTATACATGGTCCCTCTTCTTCTGATGTCCCAGAAGGCTCTTAAGAGCTTTCTTTTTTAATGGTTCGGGTTGAAAATTCTCAGCATTTTACTGTGTAATGCAATCCCAATCCTTTTAATTATTCCTTTTTTTCTACACTATCCAGAACTTGTATGATTTCAGTGGTCAATAAATATTGCAAAAACCAACAATAAATTAATTATACTTATAATAATCTTTCTGCCTACAGTACTAGAAAACCATATTGCTTGCACAAAATATACACTCCCATGTGCATGTAAACGTTTTGCTGTTTAACGCCAAAGAATTCACTCACAGCTTCTGTTCAATGTTCAAGAGAACCTTTGCTTTCTAAGAACAAGATGGAGTGGGCAACATTGAACACTGATCTTGTTGTAAATATCATATGATGTTATGGTTAAGCATCATTTACAAAATCACAATGACTGGGTTCCCATAGTATGCTAAATCTAAACAAAACCACTTGGTGATGTGTGAATCCAATCAATGAGTTGGACAATCAGGGAACAGCTTCCTGTCCATGAAAAATAATATTTGCCACAATTCATAGTCTTTTCCCAAGGGAACTCTATTATAGTAAAGGTGCTTACCAGTTTCTTGTCAATTTTTGCTTTGATGTCTCTGGCAAGTGTAAAAAATGCCTAAAATGAAAATAAGAGATACAAAAGTGCATGACTGAAAAATACTTCACTGCTGTTGAACTCTCCATTTTCTTTATATAAAGAACACCAAAATTAAATACAAATTACTTCAAATGAGGAAGGACACAGAAAAAATTTGGCCATTCATTCATATGCCAACAGCTAGCAGAATATGGCGTAACCTGGGATGTGTGGCAGCTACAACTGCCAAAATTCCCAATTGGCATAGTCAAAGCCCATTATGCTGGCTCCTATCTGGATAGGATTAGCTATATACTGCTTTTGTTAGGTGACCATAGAATGTGCAGTAAGATTGCTAGATATTTCAGATTGCGTTTACAGAACGCATAAATGGGGTCAAGCATTAGGCTTTGTAAAAGGGTGGTGTAGTGAACAAGAATTGTAGTCTAATGTTCAAAGACTAAAACTGTTTCAGGCATAAATTTGGCATTTGAATGCCTGATGGCTATGCTCTAGAATAGGGGTGTCAAATTCACGGCCTGCAGGCTGAATCCAACCTGTGAAATCCTTAAATCTGGCCCACAGGGCCAGCCTGGAAATAAAGGATTGGCCGGTAGTGCCTCTGCTGGCCAAAATGGGCTGTGTGGGGCCTCTGCATGGCCTGTTTCTGGCCGACAGAGTGCTGCAGGAGGACTGGATTACAATTATGTGGCCTCAAGTAAGTGCCTGATCTGGATAGAAAATAAGCAATATCCTATGTTAATACTACAGTTTGATACCAGATTTTGCATTTTGTTGGTCCATTTAATCAACAATCAACAATCTATAATTGACAGCCATTTCTGTTTACTATCCTTGAAATTTGCCTCTGTTGTTAGATCTTGTATTATCATGTTATTTATGCTATTGTATTTTTATTATGGTAAAGAGGTCAGTGGGTTTTAAAAAAATAATACCAAATTTAATATGAATTAAATATATTGAGGAATTATTCCAAATGACTCCCCTCTTTCTATATTAATATGATAGTTTGACACCAACCATTGAAAGCCATTAAGACATTTCTTAGCATTGGAAACCAAATCCCCACAGAATCTCATTTGAGATATCACCATTTGACATTTGGATAAGAGTGGTTTTGCACGATGAAGAGCCAATACTTACATTCTCTATATTAATGTTTGCTTTTGCACTGGTCTCCATGAATTTAATTCCAAAGCTAACAGCCAGCTGAAGAAAAAGAGACCCCAAATTAATAGCATGAAACAGAATTTTAACATGAAATTCTCTTTCTCTATTGCTATCAAAAAACAAAACATTTAATACGATGGGAATACAAAGGCTAGACACACAATCTGACATGGGCATAGTAGCTACCGTCAAACAGGTGAGTTTCTGTTTTTTAAAAAAATTTAAAACTGCCTTTCAGAACAGTTTCCGTATTTGTAGCAATGACTACATTTCTAACAACATAGAAAGGCCAAAGGCCTTTCAGGGCTCAAAGGTTAAGAAAGAAAAACAGTCATCCAAGTTGGTTAACTGCATTAACCTAATGCTCTTTTCTGCCTTACAACATGCTATATTTGGCAAAATGCCAAAGTGCTCCAATTAGATCACCCATATGCCATGTTCAGTTCAAAGTCCCAACTAAGAACAAAGGATATCAGAGAAAAGAGCTTTCTCTCTTCACTTTGGTTTGCAGAACAAAAATAGATTAGGATTTTTAACTCAAATACTGTATTTTTCAGACTATAAGACACACTGGAATATAAGATGCACCAAGATTTTGAAGAAGTAAATAAAAAAAAAAAAAAAGGTTTTGCCCTCCCTGGTCGTCAGGCGCACTCTGCAAGCCTTCCAAACCCTCTGTATGCCCTGTTTTTTTGTGAAAAATGGGCATGCAGAGAGTTTTGAGAGGCCTGCAAAGTGCTCCTGGGAGCCAGGGAGGGCAAAAATGCGACATGTGGGGGAGTCCTTCGGGAGTGGGCAGCATACAAGCTCAATAAAACATTTGGGAGGCAAAAAATGGGCCCGTTTTTTGCAAAAACAAGTGAAGTCAATGGGGAAATCAGATTCACTTAACAACATGTTACTAACTGAATAACTGCAGTGATTCATTTAACTATGGCAAGAAAGGTTGCAAAATAGGACAAAAATTACTTGTCTTGCTTAGCAATGGAATTTTGGGGATCAATTGTGGTTGTAAGTTGAGGATTAACTATACAAGAGTTGGATGATAATTTACTTCTTTTTATGTGATCCTCTGAATTTCAACCTTACCTTTTCACCTTGCTCTCGGGAAACCTGCCGTTTGTTGGTTATATCACACTTATTTCCAAGGATCATTTTTTCTACATCTGGAGATGCGTGCTAGGAGAAAGAAAATATCTTCAGCCCATTTATGAGATCATCACAACATAGTTGACATTTATGTAATATTCCTCTCTCATTGCTTAAGGAAGAATTGCCAGTATACACCACTTCTTTGTCATCAAATTTTATATAACCCTAAAGTTATTAGACAGTGATGGCTAACCTTTTTTGGATTGTGTGCCAAAAGCGGGGGGAGCGCAGGAGGGTCGGGAACGGATGTGCCCACACCCATAATGCTATGGGCGTGACCCTCTCCGCGTATGCAACCAGCACTCCCCCCTCCCCGCTTTTGCACGCTTTTTTCATCCTCCCCAGGCTCCAGCAGCTTTCTAGAAGCGTGGAGGGGGCCAAAATGGCCTCCCCCTCCCTGGGGAGGCCCTCTGGATGCTTCAGGAACTTTCCTGAAGCCTCTGGAGGGCGAAAAATGGCCCTACGGGCAACCCAAAAGTTCGAGAAAGGTGACTTTCAGTTTGCTCATAGGACTGTTTTTTGCCCTCCCTTCAGGGAAGCCTCCTGAAGCCTCTGAAGGGCGAAAAACAGCCTTAAAAGAAAGCTAAAGTCAGCACATGCATGCACGTTGGAGCTGACTGGGCAATGCCTCACCTGCCCTAACAAATGGCTCCACGTGCCACCTGTGGCACGAGTGCCATAGGTTCGCCATCATGGTTATAAGAGATTTTAAAGCCCAACTAGCTCATCTCTTTATTTCATGTATCCATTTCATCCATGCTATTAATTTACAAACGGAATCCAGTTACAGAGAATGTTGTCACAATCAGATCTAGAGGTCTCACAGACTATGCTAAATAAGAATTGAATTTTATTTAGACTGCAAAGTATTAATAATGTTCCATTGTGCAATTTTTTGCAGCAATCAAAACATTATTAGATAGAAAGTGCTTCAACCAGTTTAAGAACAAATAGGGAGCTGCCCTAAGCAAAGAAAGATTATATGTCAATCTAGCTTTCAACAACCTGGCAATATCCAGATGTCTTACGATCACATCTCCAAAATTCCAAATCAAGTATTGGTTCTACTGGTTAATTTTTAGACATTGTTATCTCAACCCCCTTGAAAGTCATCAGGTCACCAAAATCTATTTAGGAGGATTGTCTACCCAGAACTATGACAGCTCTTGGTGGGGTGGGGTCTTAGAAAGACAAAGAATTTTCCCATTAACTTTAATCAATTCTCTTATCTGTCAATGAAAGAAATAGAGCCTTGGACAATATGCTGTCAAGTATAAACTTTACTACTTTAAGTGTTAATATCTCCCAAATATCAGGAGACAAAATACAGGATTTCCCCCCTGCATTATGAGTACTTGTGAGAAATAACACAAAATCTGACCAAGAGGTTTTACACATTTTAATGGAGAAAACATACCTCTTCAATGTTTCTGACCCAGTTCTGAATATTTTCAAAAGATTTCTCATTAGTAATATCATACACCAACATGATGCCCTAAAGAATGAGAAAGAAAAGTAGACTAATGCTTCTTTAATTTTTCAAGGACTTGATAATGTAAATGTAAATGAGATAACTGATACAACTTAGCTGATAGAATTGAGAAAGGTTTTCCAAGGAAGAGTTTTGGTGGAAAGAAGCAGGAGACTGATCTGACTAGTGATGATGGGGGTGAGGGAGGGTAGGCAGATGAGAATTGTGTGAGAAGCATTCAACTCTGAGATTTAAATCTGATGCAAAAGAGATTAGGGAATCAGTGCTGAAACATAAAAAAGGAAAGAAATGATTCTATGGTAAGGAAAGAAAAAAGTTGCATTCTAAGCATTTAGAAAAGATGGAGGGAAAGCAATAAGCAACAAAAACCAGCAAGCATAGATACAAAGGCTTTAACATTAACTACAGCCATGTTCCTACTGAAGGAACATCTTAACCGAGTGGTTCTCAACCTGTGGTCTGCGGAGCGCTGGGGGGGCCAGGATGTCATCACAGGGAGTCTGTGAATGCTTGAAGAAATATTATGATTTAAATCTTGAGTGAAGTCTTGGGGGTCCATGGCATGATCTGTGGCCACAAAAGGTATTTAAAGGGGGTCTGTGGTGAAGAAAAGGTTGAGAATCACTGTCTTAACCGATTGGAGGAGACTTTGAAGGAGCCTATCCGGTGTTAACACACATCAGTACTGTAGAGAATTGAACTTACCATTGCTCCTCTATAATAAGCAGTTGTGATTGTCCGGAATCGTTCTTGCCCAGCTGTGTCCCTAGAATAGGACAAAATGTTGTTTCAAGGGCTTTATAAATACTAGTACTTTTAAATGACATCACTATTTGATAAAACTTTAATAGAAATAGACTTATAGACTTACCACTTTAGTCTTTACAGACCTCTCTAAGGATTTAGCCAACATATTGCCCTCAACAATTTGAATCCTCATTTTACCAACTTCGGAAGGATGGAAAACTGAGTCAACCTTAACGTCAGAAAGTGTGAGACAGATTTCTGCTCCATCCTTATTCAGCTCCAGTGTTCTTAGGATGAAGCTGAAGGTGGAAGAGTGATAGCGTTTGGGCCATTGGATTTTCTGCTGACTTATGATTCCTGTACTATGAAGAGGCAAGCCTCTTTAGGCATAGAAGTGGGATAAGTACAAGGGAACCAGCAAATTAATGGTCAATAGGGCCTATAGGAATAGCGCACAAGTAGATTATGTACAAATACCGTACAGTGGACTTATGACATTTGTTTAGTGGCTATTCAAAACTATTACTTGTGACTGTTCTTTGCACTTATGACTACTGCAGTGTCCCTGGATGCTTGGCAGCTGGTATGTATTTATGACTGTTGCACCATCTCAAAGTCGCATGTTTGCCATTTGCAAGCTTCCCAACCAGCTTCTGCCAAGTGAAGTCAATGGGAGCACCTAGATTCACATATTATCCAAGTAATTCATGTAACAACCATGGTGATTCGTTTAACCACCATGGCATAGAGGTAATTAAATCAGGCATAACTCACTTAACAACCAGCCTGCTTAGCAATGCAAATTCTGGTCCCAATTGTGGTGGTTAAGTGGAGGACAACCTGTTATGTAAAACAGTAGATTGGCTCATTCAGGATTCTTTCTAATTGTTCAGTTTTGTATAGACCCATGGTCTTAAAAGATGGTACATAGTAAAATATTGATGATAAAGATGAGACAATTTTGAAACAATGTCTGGCCAGATAACAATTAATCAGAAGAATCAGATTGCTCCAATTCTATGAGATTCCTACTATTTTTATTCGCCTTCTTCTTTTTCTTGGCAGGTTCAGACCAGTCTGCAACCAACTACCTCTTTTTTACTTTCTAATAATATATATTGAACTTATATGACATCAAAGGTATATGTAAAATAGTAATATTTGGCATTTGGTTTGAAGCATATATATGTCATAAGAAGTCCATCACTGCTTTAAAGCAAACTTCCCCAATGTGGGTCTCTTCAACTGTGTTGTGGGCTCACCACATCTACAGGTGAAACTTGAAAAATTAGAATATTGTGCAAAAGTTCATTTATTTCAGTAATGCAACTTAAAAGGTGAAACTAATACTCAGTACTTGGTTTGGGCCCCTTTTGCCATCTACCAGGAGATTTTGGAGCACTTCATGCTTCCTTTTGTAGTCGAGCTTTATGGGGAGGCTGACTTCATTTTCCAGCTGGCCACATTGCCAAAAGCACCAAAACCTGGATCAATGACTGTGGGATTACTCTGCTTGATTGGCCAGCAAACTCGTCTGACCTGAACCCCATAGAGAATTTATGGGGCATTGCCAAGAGAAAGATGAGAGAAATGAGACCGAACAATGCAAAAGAGCTGAAGGCTGCTATTGAAGCATCCTGGTCTTCCATAACACCTCAGCAGTGCCACTACTTATAACAACCTTATTTCTCAAC